AAAAAATTTTTTTTCAATTTTTTTTTAGGATTATATTTCAGACAGTTCAAATGACACATTGATATGGCATTAATTCATTATATTTTGACAAAATACAATTTTTGCACACATTTAAATCAAAACCCTGTTTCTCCACATTCCACTTTTGGACTTAATCCTCGTTTCGATGTGATGGGTCACATATGTTTAGATTTTAGATTCATTTTTGGTAAATTTACAGCATTGCAAGAAAAGGAAAATAAAATGAAACACTATTTTATAAATACAAACCAATAATTAACCAAAAAAAGGAGTAGGCTGAAGACAAGCCTTATACTTGCCTAGATTATTCAAATACTCTCAGTCTACAAGAAAGATAGATATCTACTGTCCCTCCATACATACATCCCTTCAATATACATGTGTGTACATATACATATATACACATGCATACATGCATACATGGTTACACAAAACAAATATAAATCTACATAACAGTCTGTTTTATAATGTTACATTTTAAGGCTCTTTTAACGCTCACCAAAAACAGCATATAATTTGAGATCATTCCAGAATTTCACTCCTATAACTGAAACACATCTAGATTGTACTTTACTTTTCTCTTTAGCACATTCAAAGATTAACAAACCTCGTAAATTATATTCACTCTCTCTTAACTTTAATAACTTCTGAATTCCAGAAGGAAGACTTTTACTCAATGCTTTATTCATTATTTCTAGTATTTTTATGTATAAGATGTCCTGAAATTTTAAAGTGCTACTTTGAATAAAAGGTTTATTAGATGGTTCACGATATCCCACTTTATTAATAAGCCTAATAGCTTTTTTTTTGTAACTTAACTAATATGTCAATAGTTGTTTTATTTGCATTTCCCCATATTCAAGAATCAAGAATAATATTTTTTAATGGATAAAACAGTGGTCTTTAATTGATCAAATTTGAACATAAGCTGTTTATGTTGAAATTATACCCTTTAAGTTGTGATTTTTTTTATGTTTTGTCCAGCAATAGCTTGTTAGAAGAGGAAAGGTTTGAGAAGCACTTTTGTGTACCTCTATGCGAAGCTGAGCAGGACTCTCAGAGTTGTCTCCAACCCGCCTCACACTATCGTAATGATCTCCGTAGCGGTAGGCAATGTGCAACTCCCTGCACACTGGCTTCTCTGCACCATTTATCTGTGGAGGCGACATGAGGAATAAACCGTGGTGCGTAACAGGTGGGTTGGGAGGGGTCCACTGAGTTAATAGCACACTAGCTCACGTAATGATATTTTACAGTTTTGGTCTGTAGCTTCGTGCCTACCTCCCACAGCGGTGTGTTGAGCTGATGGATGACCACTTTCACCTGCTGACTGCGAGCAAAAGCTACAATGGCATCATTGCCAGCAAACGTACCAGGCTGGGAGAGGTTTGATACTGGGGTGGGAAAACAGAAAAGGATTGTTTTTTTWACTTATAGTTAAATCAAAATCTTACTCTTACATTATAAAATAAACACAATATTTTTAAGTCAGTAAAAAAATTACTAATCAATTAAAGCAAAAATAATTAAAACTGATCAAGATTGTGAGCCTCATGTTGCAGGTAACAATTTTGACCACCAGGAGGTGCTGCTCCTCAAAACTGACAACAAATTAAATCAGTAGTGTTCTTTCTATTACAACCATAATATTAGAAAATATTAGTATATTTTATGTAATTTTAAACTGTTTCATGTGTAAATTCAGTACTWTTTGTCCACAGTTTGTTTTCTTACAGTGCTGTGCGAAAGGGACGTCATCCTCAACAAAGGGCTCAAAATCGTGTCGATGAGACATCATATAATCAACGGTCTCCTGTCGGAGATGCAGGTGATCACGAGAGTGACCCTCCAGCTGGTCACCGAGAGCTCTGAACAGACAGTTCCTGCAGGAGACAAACATGATGACTACATAAAGGAGGTTCAGGGCGTCTGTGTTTTTGCCGAATGTAAGGTTTCTACAGCTGACAGAATGTTTAAATCAAAGCCTTAAACTCCACTGCTGCTTGGATTAAAGAAGGCATTGGCAGGAAAATATCTGGCTTTTAGCCAACAAGACAATCAGTGCTGCAAAATGCAAGCTTCCTAAAACTACATTGCTGGTAGCAAACYGTAAATGTCTAAACACAAATAAACCCAAAACATTCAATAAATATTTAGGCTCATTTCACCAAGTGAAACTTTACCAAAAATAAACAATGGTTTTAGTGGTTTGCTTGTCTAAAACAAATGTGTGTTAAAACAATCCCAAAAGTTAAACAAATCATCAGTTATATTAAGAAAACAGCTGGTTCTGTCCATATAATGGGGGAATAATGTCAATCGTTCTATAAATATAAAATATTCAAAAGGCCATAACAGAAAATAACATTTTTCTTTTCTACACAAAAACATGGTAATGGAGCTTTGATTTGCTAAACTGGATTTGAATTAAAAAACTAGACTTCTAGGTTAATTTTCTGTAGACAGTTTAGAACAGATGAGAACATATCAAGATGTTCTGCCATAACGCACAGGACCGTGTTTAATGAAACCCAGACACAGCACTACAACACAAACAGCTCTTAATGCCTGCAAACCTTGATAAACCAAAACATTATAAATTGGGTCAAAACTTCTCTACAACAATGTAAAAGACCAATAAAAACATCAAAGAGATGACCAATTCAAGTTAAAGCTGCAAAACGTGGTTCTACAAGCTACAGAATCTCAGTTCAGTTTTTACTTTTCTGAAGTTTGGCACATTACTATCAAAATTATTTGAAACGTTACATTATACCAGATCAGACATGCTACAGAATCTACACAGAGGAAACCTTTGCAGTTTTCTGACTCTTACCCGTCTCCAGGGACCTCCCTCAGTTTGAGCCCCAGTGCCTGGAGCTGATTGGAGAAGCTCACATATTCTGCACCTTCATCGCTGTCCTGAGGTCGGTTCTTGCGGTCCTTTGCAATGGCACGGCGTGCTGCTCGCTCATCTCTCTTGCGTTCCAGCTCACTCTTTTTATTGCTCCGCGCAGGTTTGGCTGTCTGTTTTCGAGACATGTTCGCTGCAGTAGTTTCTTGTTGGCCACAACACCAAAGAATGTCTTGCTGTGGCAATAAACTGGCACTTCATTAAATGAGCCCGCTCAACTGCAACCTATGAACAAACTTTTAAAAAAAACTGGTGTCAATTTAACAAACTACAGTTTATACAATGCCTTTTGAAGAATAGGGTGACTCAATTTTGATTCATAATATTCTTTAAAACCTATGCACGGAAAGTTTCTTGACTTGCATTTTCATAAATTACGTTCCCATTTAGTGTGAAACAGAAAATGCTAGGTATGTTAGGTTGGAACATATWTAAGAAGATATTTTAAACTCAAGGGTCTATATGATAAATAAATAAAAACATGGATGGTGACTATTACTGTCTTTCAAAAGTAAACGAATCTAAAAGGTACTCGTACATTTTGATCTATGTTCGTATGTATGGTGATATATATATATA